TACAACAATGAAAATTTTCCACGGTGATGGAAAATAAAAGTTTTCGTATTATAGCTCCCGAAATTGTTCCCAAATTTACAAAAATTCGCAAAATATAGCTAATATGAAAAACAGATTAGTGTATTAGGAACCAGCGTCCTAAATACACCGCAGAAATATGAATGCTGCCCTTTACATCTTTTGACTAAAGACCAGTGCAATTATCAAGAGAACAATTACAATTTGGTTGAAAAACAGATAACTTTGAGAGTAACCATAAATTAAAGGGCTGCCAGAGATTATATTTGATTATGTCATTTGCGGTTACAGATTCATTATCTATAATATCCACCAAACCTTTTCGCTGAACCCCGAATTGCAATTTTGCAATTAAAATAAACGATTAATATTTTAGAGGCTTGTTGCTGACCTTATAACTTATTATACAATTAGGGGATTAACAAGACCTCTTAACAAACCGTCGTAAAATCTTAAGCTTAAAATTTTTAATGTAATTAAAATGGTTTTAGAGGATTTCCAACCAAACCGAAATGTTTTTAGACTGATAAAACAATATATAATTAGTCCCTCCCAAAACCATTTTAACCGTTGTTTTACAAACCAAATGTTAAGCTTAAGATTTTACGACGCTTAACCCATCTTTTGAATCCCCTAAATATATTTTCACTATCACCACCGGCAAGGGTGGACATTTTTACAGTAAAAATGTACTTTTCTTTTTACACGGGTGGTACAAAAAAGAACCTGCTTTTTGGAACAGATATATTTTACGGAAACACTGCTAATTTATTCCACTTTTCTGTGTGAATCTGATATCTTGAAATAAAAGGACCACGAATACTAACAAAGCAACAATTAAAGAAAAAGTATTGCTTTATTGTAAAAAAAAAATCCACTCATGTGGAAATCAGTTCCTCTTATGTGGAAATCAGTTCCACTTATGTGGAAATCGTAGAGCTTTTTTTTATAAATAATGACACAGGATGCGAAGGAAGCTTTTACTTGATAAAAATCTTGAAAAAATTTCTTTACAAAAAATTTATCAAGAAAACACAGAATTGGGCCAATAATTAAAAAATATTTGGGAAATTTTTGGAGCAGATATATTTTACGGAAACACTGCTAATTTATTCCACTTTTCTGTGTGAATCTGATATCTTGAAAAAAGAGGACCACGAATACTAACAAAGCAACAATTAAAGAAAAAGTATTGCTTTATTGTAAAAAAAAAATCCGAAATTTCTCTGTCACGGGTGGGACAAAGTTTGTCCCGCGTGGGACACGTACGAATTTTTGTATGAAAAGGTGTTTTAGTGGGGTCCATGTTGAAGATTATTATTAAAAAACATAAGAACCCAAGTTGAAGTTCAATTCAATCACTTTTAATCTTAGGACGGTGCGTCTTATATGAAAGAAAATGCGTAGCGCCGTCAGTCAAAAAAATTATTAAAAATCAACGCGATTTCCTAGCGTCTTAATTTCCAGTTATATCTACTTAAATTTATTGTGCTATAAAACTGCATACCTAGAAATTCTGAATAAAAAGTTTCAAATTAAAGATTGTTGAATTTTTATAAATTTTACGAAGTTTTAAATGTGGATTTATGTGGTGCTGAATATGTAATGTGCTAGACTTTTATAAAATATGTATACTCTTAACATTAAATAAACAAAAGAAAAAACCAAAACTAGTCAAAATGTCACTTAACATAATCAGCTGACCACAAAAGTTATATAGCTAATGGGCGAGTCGCGTTCCCCCTCCTCCCCTATTTCCACCACAACAAATAAATACAGCTTATCAGCCCTGTAAATCCAACTCTGACAACTGTTCCACCCTTAGATGTCACGGGTGGGACATGCTCTACTGTAGAATTATGCTTATCTAACTATGTATGTGGAAACGAAAATGCAATTGTGGTAAACATTTGCAATGAATTTCTAACATTATGTAACAAATACGAAACACAACCTCAACTTCTGTAATTAAATATAACAACTTTTATCTCTTTTGTAACGGGTGGGACAAGGTCAATACTGCTTAATAATAACACATAATTTATGTTACCAGATATTTCTATGCTTGTAACAAAATTAATGACCTGAAAAATCTACTGAACCTGCTAAAATGTGCACAAAACAGCCAAAAAATATCTAATACATAGGGATAAATCGATACAAGTAAATCCAAGTCCATACTCGATACTTTTCTCAATTTACCAAGTAGTTTTTTACTAGATACTTTTTACTGCGATCCAAGTTGGTATCGAAAAAAAAGTACTTGTATCGGAAGCGCAAAATTTATTATGCTTCAGTATCTTTTTTGAAAAGTAACCCATTAGAGGAATGGGAAGATATGCGCACTACATTTCCGCAGCTATATAAGCAAGCCCGTCCATACATAACGGTTGTTGGGTCATCTGTCCCTTGCTATCGGCTTTTCTAAAAAACAGGCACAACTATCAGACATGTTCTAAAATTCGAAAATTTTAAATCTACTCGATTTCGATAATTTTCTCGATGGATTTTAACCCAAAAATTTACAAGTCTCGCACTAAAATGATTTATTTCATATCGCTGCCAGTGTACGAAAATAAACTATATTGTACGTTACTATTTCGTTTCGTTTATTACTTTAACAGTTCGGTACAATACGAAACAAAACGGCTGAGTTCACTTTGGCGATAGTACACTACAGTAGTTTAGTAGTTACAGACGAAACAACAAACGAAATGAATCGTGCAGGGAAAATATTTTTATGTATGTACATATATGCAATAAACAAATACAAAACGAATGGCTGCAATGAATAAAAAAAATAAAAATGTTTTTTAATTGAATTGGATATGAAAATTTACAGAAAAAATTATTTTTCACGTAATTGAAACGTTTGCATACATATAAAACGTACCCTATGGTACAATTGTCACAAACGAAAAGCAAACGTTTCTCGTTGGGGAAAATGACAGTGAATCTTACAATTTGTTTCTGACTATTTACAAAACTGTACAAAACCACAAATGATATGATGATCGATGAGCAAATGGGAATTGTTTTGTACAGTTTATTTTCGTACCCTGATCGCTGCTGCTTCTTTTACGGGTTTCAATTATAATGTTCACTGTTTTCATCAGATATACAGCCCGATTCTGTGCACTTGATAAATTGAAAATCTTTATAATTTGTCATTTTTTTATTATTTATCAAGAATTGGTATTCTAGCACAGAAACCAAAAGCTTTTTTCTTCATAAATTATCAAGATTGAAAATGCTATTGACAAATTGAAATTTCATGTGAAATGTATACATTTTGTATATTAATAAATTTGTTTCTAACAATTAAATACTCCATGTGCCGGCATTTGAACCTGCGACACACGGAATTATAGTCGACATCTCTAGCTACTCGGCTACGACAGTCAAAAGCTTTGTTGCTTTTAAATCCATATTTTTCATATGTGACAATGAAATCAGTTCCACACATGTGGAAATCAGTTCCACTTATATGGAAATCGTAGAGCTTTTTGTTTTATAAATATTGACACAGAATACGAAGGAAGCCGTTCCCACGACATTTGGAAAAGTAGATTTTTTTGGGAAATATAAGTATATAAGGAGTTATTTTCTCACACTTATTTTATGTGAAAAAACTTTATCTATTAATCTTGTAAAAATGTATTATATTGCTTTTGTATGAAAAAATATTAGAAGATAAATAATCTTGTAAAAATTCAATTTTTTTGTGAAAAAAAAAATTCAATAACTTTGAAAAATTTGCAAAATCGTAGTTCTATGTACAAGTACTCGATACGTTTCCGATACTGAGTAGGTATCGATACCTTGTTTGATACAATTACAATAACTGATTTGAGTAATACCTTGATGGTACCGATTTGTCCCTACTAATACATTAATACTTAAATACTCCACATCAGTAGAACAAATTAATTACACGTATTTTTTATATTTTATTCAACATTTTTATAATTTTATACAAATTCGCCAAAAAAACGCGTCACACGGGAACACTCGATTGCTTTGAAAGCACTTGCAGCAAAAATTAAAATTGCTAGTGCAGCACGATCAAGTTGAAATTATTCTCGAAAGCGATTTGAGTAATTTCAGTTGCAGTTACACCTTGCAATTTTTATTTCCGAAAGTGATTTCTGCAAATCTGCAAAAAGGACTTTCAATAAATTTTTTAATTTTATTTTAGGTTCCCGAATAAAGTTCCAGGAAATGTTGCTCTACGCAACTCCCGATCCGAGGTCATCGCATTTTCAAACCTCCCGAGTGTTCTTCTGCCATGAAATCGCTTCTTATAAAAGCCATTTGTAGTTCGGAGGCGACCTAGAACTTTAGGTCCCTTTATTTGCGTGACGAGATCAACATGCAGATTATGGATAACATGATACCAAACTCGTTTTATGCAATTAAAAAAAATAGCGAAAGAGCAGCTAACTATGTATTATTATGTATGTTAAAGCGAAATGAGTGGAAATCAATATATCTGTGGTCATAAGCAATAACCGCCTAAGTCGAAAACCCTGAATTCAAGAAAAAACGTTTTAAACATTTGCATTGTAATGTTAACCTTATGGGGAAACCAAAATATGTTTGTCTATAACTTTTTAAATAGCCTAGCTGGCGAGATGGCGATTTCACATATACATGGAATAGTAGTGGCAGAATACGATAACATATGGTCGTTTAAAGTACAAAACCGCTTATCAAGATAATGCAAAACCGCGTATTAAGGTAACGATATATAACTCAATTCTTTCTTAAGTCGACTAAGGCGGTTATTGCTTATGACCACAGATATGTATTAATGGTGTACAGGACTGAGTTTGTATGTAAAGAAAATAGTTTAACTGATTTATAAATTGTATAATGTTTACAGCAGGAATGTCAACAACTGTTGACTTGCAAGATTTTACTAGTTGTGTGATCTCGACAACTTTTTCTGCTAGTTTTCTATATATCTCAATTTTACTCTATTTTGCTTTGACGCTCTAGCGGCGACTTTTTAGTTGAAAATTTGCTATACACGACTTATATATAGGTAAATTACACACCTGAGAGAGGATTCCATCTTTTGTAGAAAGTTTTAAGTCATCAATTTTTTGCTCAAGTTCGTCTGAAGTTTCGCTTTTAGTTGCCAGTTCTTTGGTATCTTCTACTAAGTGTTTCTCCTCAGTTGACATGGGAGAAGGTGATACCCCATCTGTACAGACTGATTTTTGACCAGGAGTGAATTCTGGAGCGAATATATTCAGAGAGGGATGTTCGTGCTCAAAGTCAATTTCCAGTTCAGCTCCACTGGGCTTCGCAAAACAACTATTTTCGAATGAAATGTGATCTGCTACAAGGTAAGGGTTACTGGCGTCAGTGAGGTTTTCGCCTGTTCGCTTAAGGGTTACATCATCTGCATTTTGTAATTCAGTTGAAGTGCTGTCTAAGTAGAATGATTCTTGCATATTTGCTCCATCATGCATATCAATAGGTATTTGTGGTATATCCTTTATTGATGAATGCATTTGATTTTGCATGTTCATTTTCATTTCTTCAGTCGAAGGCGATTGAGAAATGTAGTCTTTTTCTTCGACATCTAACAATTCCTTTCCTCCAGCTTCTAATTCTTGTTGTGACCGTTCTTCAATAAAAGAAACGTTTACACTTTCAGTATCGATTGGTAATGGCTGTACTGTATTAAGTACATCCTCAATAGGATCAGGCATTTCAAATTTATGTTGCTGGGCTAGGTTGTCATTATCACATAGCTGAATTCCAATATCAGCATCTAAATCGACAGATGTTTCAGGACCGTGATCGATTATATTTGCTGGGGAATGACGAATATCAAGTGAATAATCTGCTTCTTCTGCATTTTTATCTTCTTTGAGCAAATGCACACCATCATTATTATGATTTTCAAACTGTTGTAAGTGCTGTACCGTACCAACACCAATTAAATCGTCTTCTTGCTCCAATTCATGCGGACGCTTTGCGGCTTCATGTTCAAAATCATTTTCTTCAGGCAATGCAATACCATCTAAATTGGATTCAACACTTCCCTTGCGTGGGCTCTGAGCCACGAAATCATCATCACTAAGCAGGTGGCGTGCTATTGAGTTTGGGTGTGGTTGTGGCGCTGTTTCTGCATCACTGTTTAAAGCCGGTTCGCCAACAGTAAAAGCTGCACTATCGCTTGTGGGCACTAGGGGTGAAGCCGGATTCGAACCAACACTGGGGACGAACACCAAAGCATTTGGGTTTAAGTGTGAGTGCGTTTCAAAGTCCAGGTCATTAGGTCTGATAATTTCATCCTTACCACCATGTAAACCAATGCTTGGTAAACTAGGATTAGCATTTTCTTTGTTTTCTATAGAAAGTTCCACGGTTTTTAGATCATTTTTTTCTGAACTTAGTTGTTGTAGTGGAGCATTTTCGCTAAGACTATTTGTTCCATTGGTAGTATTTGTTGCCAATGAACTTGGTTCCTCTTCTTCCATCTCTACGAAATTTCTCTCAGCACCACCAGCACCCAATAGATTTTCAACCGGCTGTGATTGCAGTAATGTTGCTGTTTCGATTTTCATTTCGACTTGCAGTACACCATTATCCGAATCGACGTCTTCGCCGCCTATAGACGTTGTATTAGAAGTTGGTGAAAAATCACCATAATTTTTTAATGCTTCATTCTCTTCAATGCCGGTTGGCGTGTTGATGGCGTCTACGTCAACAGCGGCTGAGATGCCAACGACACCGTTACCAACTTCGTGCTTGTCTAGCAAGAGCAAATCGTCGGCCCCGACATCGCCTACCTCATATACGTATCCATGCCCGTTGCCAACATCTTCTACGTCTTCCATATCTTTACTATCTATACCGTCTCTAATTCGCTCTTGCTGCTTTTCGCTCTGTTGCCCTTCTTTAATATACTTCCATTCCTCCTGGTCATGCCCTTCATGTTCACCAAATTTTCCACCAATACTACTTCCAATCTCTTCTGCTACAACATTATCACACACACCATCACCACTAGCCATCTGCAAATTATCCATCAAATGGGGCGAGCTTTGCAAAACGTTGTCCAAGTGCGCATTATCCTCGTGCTCCATTTTAAACTATGGTTTTTATATCAAATACCTTTCTTTTTCTTTGTTCACTGCTTCTGGGCTCTCCCCTTTTAATGTTTTGCACAAGCTATTAAAGGTTCTCGAATTTGTTTTAATATTTATCGATATTAAATTCACACAAACTTTTACAACACTGTTCAAACAATGCTCAATGCTCCCCGTTTTCTCCAAATATTTAGAACTTATCCCAAACAAAGCGTCTTGTCAAATTTGCTGCACTATTCGCACTGCGAAGATCCCAATATCGAACGAAGAACACACCCGGCAAAATGACCCAACAAGCAAACGAATGAATTGGGCGGCACGAAGTCACTCGAGTATTTGTTGCCATCCAGATTTTTTTTACCAAAATCGATAATAACGGAGTTGCCAGACCCATAAATTATAAATTACGCTAAGGCTACCTGAACACTTGTTTTGTAATTTTTGCTATGCCACTTTTCTTCCAATTCTCTGTCACCTTCAAAACATTGGAAGACGCGTTTTGAAGCGTTAAAAGAGAGAAACATTAAATGTTCGAGGAATTCTCAGCGGTGGAATCGTGTGGCGTTCTGCGTGATTTTGTATTTTTGGTTCATGTACTAAACACGACCAAATTGCCGGCAATAGATGGCAAGCTATAAGCTCTGATATATATTGCTCTTGAAAAGCAATGAGGGGCTCCAGTGGCTATTTTTACATACATAGGTATCAAGATAGTTCAGATCCAGTACTCCATGAACTTACAGGATTTTACACGAGCTTGCAGGAAGTTGCAGGAAAAATGTTCCCGTACTCCAAAATCCTCCAAAATCCTGTAAATGAGAGCGACTTTTGGAGAGTTGTGTAGAGAATGAAGTTGCAAGATTTTACCCGAACTTTTTCTTCTGGTAAAATCATGAAAAGTGTCAAGCAATCACTGGTTGACGTTTTTACAGGAAAAATGGATTTTTTGTTCCTGTACTTTTTGTTGTTACTCACTTTTTACTCTCACTTCAGAGAGTAATTTTGCTGTTTGGCAGTTTTACAGGATTTTTCACGAAAAGTATTGGATCAGAGCTGATATAAGTCAGCTAAACGACAATTTTAACAATTTAGCTATTTGATAAACGTTTCCCTAACAACATTCGTTAGCGCCAAATCAGCTGCTGTCGTTAACGATAACAAAGACTGCTTATTTGTCGACGTAGAGTTTGGTGTTGTTAAAAAAAAAAACATAAATAGTACGTTCTACAATTTTTTCGTACAGAAAAAAATGCACAGGACCGCTAGCTAAACAAAAATTATAATTTAATGTGCTACAAACCTGCATACATAATTTTTTTATTATTCTTATTAAAAACTTGAAGTTTTACGAAAGTTTGTTGAATTTTGTTTAAATATTGCAGAGTACCTATTAAAAACAAGTAATATAAATTACATAGCAAAAAAAAATAGTTTGTTAAAACTTGTATATATGTGTTCCGGTTTTGATTTTCCAATAGGGCATAAAACAAATATAGAAAACTCAAAGTTAAAATGTGATAAGTGTATGTTTTAATCTTACAGGAACTGAATGTGCTTTGAATTTAAAGGAATTGAATAATTAATTTTACAATTTTATACGTATACATCGTTTGCTGAAAGTATAAATATCATATATGTATGTGTATATTTACATATTTCTTTATTAATCATCATTATTTATTTATTTGTTTATGAAGTCTAACAACAGGATGTTCTTACAGACTACATATATTAGAAAAAGTTACATATTATAAAATATTATTGAGATTACTTAAATAAGATTCAAGTCGATTTCGGAAAATACCCTTTGGCATAGGGAGATCAAGGTCTAGAGAACTATAAATCGTATTGATTTCTTGCAAAGTTCTATTTAAGGGAGCATTTCGGCTGTAAAGAGTTTTGCTAACAGCGACTCTATACAAATCAGTACACTGCTAGGAACATTGAAATAAATTCTGCTGAGTAATAGGGGGCAATCAACGTTACCGGAAATTACATCGAAAATGAAGGAAATTGACAGGAAAATTCTTCGGTATGCAACGGCATTAAGTTAATTAACTGACAACGTGAAAAATAGGATGGGATAGGGTCGGAGAAGTTAAGCGATCTTAAGGCGTGTCGGATAATCACGCGCTGGACTGACTCAATCCTGTTTATGTGCACTTGGTAATAAGGTCTCCAAATAAAGCCAGCGTACTCTAATCTTGACCGAACAAATGCAGAGTATAAGACTTTGTGAAAACGCAGTACTGTTGCGTTTTCCAAAAGTTAGCATCGAAAATGAATTAGCGACGATAAAATTTACATGCGTAATGAAATTAAATTTCGAATCGAAAAATACTCCTAGGTCCTTAACTACGTTGAAAGACTCCAATCTAGTATCAGAAATACGGTATAATGTGGGTAGCGGTGTAGATTGTTTTGAAAACGTGATTTGGTTACATTTTTTAATGTAAAGAAATAAGCGATTGAGGTCAGACTCCAACTGGGAATTCACGTCGATGATACACCAATTCCGACGTCGAACAACCCGAAAAAACTCGGAGGAACGTTCGATATTCTGCTCTCCTTCTTCCCGCATACAACCGCTATTGTCAACAAAGTACAAAGACGCAACAATGTCCTCAAGCCGCTAGCCGGCAGCACCTGGGGCAAAGACAAAGAAACGTTGCTGGCAACGTACAAGGCAATTGGCCGGCCGGTTCTGAACTACGCTGCGCCAGTGTGGTCACCGGGTACTAGTAGGACGCAGTGGATGAAGCTGCAGACTTGCCAGAACACGGCACTTAGGACAGCGACAGGATACCTCCTGATGTCGCCGCAACACCACCTGCACGAGGAGGCCCACATGCTCCCAGTTAAGGAGCATAACATGATGCTTTGCAGGCAGTTCCTGGTTGGGAGCCACATATGTGGCCATCCAAACAGGCAACTCCTTGCAGAAGAGCCTTCGCCCAGGCACGTCAGGAGGCATCTATACGAACTGACGGACGAAGTCCAGATGTTCATCAAACAACCTCTGGACCCGACAACCTATCTACAGGCCTTGAACGGCATTCACAGAGAGGCAGTCTCATGTTATGTAGACTCCCGACCTGTGAATGCCGTTCTGGGCACACAACGACCAGACGTGGACGAGACAGAACTTCGTCTGCCTCGGGAGACTCGGACCACAATAGCCCAACTGCGCTCTGGTTAATGCAGCAGGCTGAACTCATACCTGAGCAGACTAAGCGAAGATATCCCAAATGAATGTCCGGCCCCATGACTCACAGCATCTCTTCGCATGCCCTCTAAACCCCACCACGCNTCGAACAACCCGAAAAAACTCGGAGGAACGTTCGATATTCTGCTCTCCTTCTTCCCGCATACAACCGCTATTGTCAACAAAGTACAAAGACGCAACAATGTCCTCAAGCCGCTAGCCGGCAGCACCTGGGGCAAAGACAAAGAAACGTTGCTGGCAACGTACAAGGCAATTGGCCGGCCGGTTCTGAACTACGCTGCGCCAGTGTGGTCACCGGGTACTAGTAGGACGCAGTGGATGAAGCTGCAGACTTGCCAGAACACGGCACTTAGGACAGCGACAGGATACCTCCTGATGTCGCCGCAACACCACCTGCACGAGGAGGCCCACATGCTCCCAGTTAAGGAGCATAACATGATGCTTTGCAGGCAGTTCCTGGTTGGGAGCCACATATGTGGCCATCCAAACAGGCAACTCCTTGCAGAAGAGCCTTCGCCCAGGCACGTCAGGAGGCATCTATACGAACTGACGGACGAAGTCCAGATGTTCATCAAACAACCTCTGGACCCGACAACCTATCTACAGGCCTTGAACGGCATTCACAGAGAGGCAGTCTCATGTTATGTAGACTCCCGACCTGTGAATGCCGTTCTGGGCACACAACGACCAGACGTGGACGAGACAGAACTTCGTCTGCCTCGGGAGACTCGGACCACAATAGCCCAACTGCGCTCTGGTTAATGCAGCAGGCTGAACTCATACCTGAGCAGACTAAGCGAAGATATCCCAAATGAATGTCCGGCCCCATGACTCACAGCATCTCTTCGCATGCCCTCTAAACCCCACCACGCTAACGCCCCTGTCCCTATGGATAGACCCCGTCGAAGCTGCACGCTTCCTATGGGCTACCGTTAGTGGAGATTGACGACAACGACTGAGGGATCTGGGTGGGGTTGTTGTAGCCGCTACAACAACAACCAACTTACTTAACGAAATTACCTACACACGCACCAACCCCATGTTAACGTTAATGCGCCTTTAAAAAATAAAATCGCATTTTACAAGTTTACCAACCTGCCTCAAAAATCAAAAAATTTTGATTTTCTCCAACCTGACGAACAACTTGTAGGGTTTGCCAACTTGCCTACACAAGGCTTATTTACCACCAACTTTTCGTTCCCACGACAGTCGGGTCTACGTAACCGGAACGACCCAGATTTATATTTGGCCAAGGACTGTCACTCCAGCAACACTCCACAAAAGCTCTTTAGGGACTCGTCACTCAGTCTCCCACAAGTAACGAGTTGTCGCGACCAAAGTTTCTCTGTCTGAACCTAGACTAAGCAAATTACGATTGACGAAAGTTGATGTACTTTTTTTTTTGTCCGCTGGCAATACCGTGGACGCGCGAAAAATTTTTCTCTGCAATTGCGAAATTTATTTCAATTCAATAAAAACAGTAATTTAAGCGTAAAAATTACGCTAATCATCTTCTTTTCTATACTGATATTGTTACGACTTGTAGATATCGGAAAAAAGGAACAAAAATTAAATTTAAGAGATCCCTATCAAAGATGGAGAATAGTGGCGGGGGCTCGGATGGCCCCTTAGCCAAGACAAAATGTAGGAGCCGAAGCAGCAGTAGATTTAGGCAGGAAACCAAAAAAGGGAAGCTAGATACCCCAGCAGTGGCCAATGCAAATTCGGAGGAAGTAAACATGACAGACATTCAACCAAGTAAGTGGACTATTTTTATAATATGAACCATAAGGAGCCGTTCTCTGTGTACCTGGATAAAACGGATATTAACAGAGAGCGAATGCCAATTAACGCTTTACGGTCTCCAAAATACTTAATACCTTACAAGTACCTGACGTTGAAGATGTAATCAAAGTTGGTTGTTCAGAAATGGAAGTGCAGCCAATGAATTCTACAAAAATGAAAATATCAAACAACACCTATATGAGACAAAAATCTTTGCACAGTGCGTTTCCAAAATGGGTATCATCTTTGATATTCCAACAGACCTATCGGAACAGGAATTACTTCAAGGACTTAGTTCACCAATACCAA